GGACAACACACACACACCAGACATCAACACACCAAGACACCACAGCAAAGCACAGAAACGACACCACACAGACACACACCACAGAGAGCATTCACACACACACAACACACACAGACACACGGACACAGACACACACACAGCACACACACACACAGACACACTACAACAGAGAGAGGACACCACACACAGAGAGAGACCACACACAGACACACACACAGACACACACACACAGACACACACACACACCACACAGCGACACACACCAGACACACACAGGACACAGACACACACACACCACAGTCACACACACACACACACAGACACACAGTCATCACACACACAGACCACACCCAACCACACACACACACACACACACACACACACACAACAGACACACACACAACACACACCACACACCACACACACACCACACAACACAAATTAGTTGATGAAGCTAAATCTGAATGACGCCGTCAGTCGACGCAGAATAATGAAGCTCAGATTCCGAGCTGATCTTCAGCTTCGTCAACAACAGCTGCACGACACGCCAGAAAAAACCCACGTGATTATTTTGACAGATGTTGTGATTTCAGTTGGAATCGAATGATTGTTTTTTATTTCATTTTCCCTGAAAAATAAAAATGATGATGATGTGATTTTGCTGATCTCTTTACGTCTGGAGAAACATGATCTGTAGGTCGGAGCGTCTCTGTAGCTCCCACAACACTGATGCTGCTAACAATGCTAATGCTAACAATGAACAACAACGTGACACACACTCTACCTTCATCAAAAGACACTGCAGCTGCTGTGATTTGGATGTTTGCATTGATATGAATTGTGCAGCTCTAACCTCGTTCGTTCTAGATTCAATGAACCGTCACACGGTGAGAAATAAAAGGTTCTGAGAGTCTGAAGCAGAAGAACAAGGAGCAGCAGAGGAGGGAAAACCTGGAAAATGTTTCAGTGAATAAAATCCGGACAGTTTCTGAAGAACTTCACACTCTCATCAAGGGTTCTGTAGAACACAGGAACACCTTTTTAAAGGTTCTTGATTCCCTGAGCTCATAGAACCACGACAACAACAACCCGTACCTCACCTCTGTGACCTTTCTCTCTACACACACACACACACAGACACACACACAGACACACACACAGAGAGAGACACACACACGGAGAGAGACACACACACACACACACAGACACACACACACAGACACACACACACACAGACACACACACACACAGACACACACACACACACACAGACACACACACACACAGACACACACACACACACACAGACACACACACACACACACACACACACACACACACACACACAGACAGACACACACACACACACACACACACACACACACACACACACACACACAAATTAGTTGATGAAGCTAAATCTGAATGACGCCGTCAGTCGACGCAGAATAATGAAGCTCAGATTCCGAGCTGATCTTCAGCTTCGTCAACAACAGCTGCACGACACGCAGAAAAACCCACGTGATTATTTTGACAGATGTTGTGATTTCAGTTGGAATCGAATGATTGTTTTTTATTTCATTTTCCCTGAAAAATAAAAATGATGATGATGTGATTTTTGCTGATCTCTTTACGTCTGGAGAACATGATCTGTAGGTCGGAGCGTCTCTGTAGCTCCACAACACTGATGCTGCTAACAATGCTAATGCTAACAATGAACAACAACGTGACACACTCTACCTTCATCAAAAGACACTGCAGCTGCTGTGATTTGGATGTTGCATTGATATGAATTGTGCAGCTCTAACCATCGTTCGTTCTAGATTCAATGAACCGTCACACGGTGAGAAAATAAAAGGTTCTGAGAGTCTGAAGCAGAAGAACAAGGAGCAGCAGAGGAGGGAAAACCTGGAAAATGTTTCAGTGAATAAAATCCGGACAGTTTCTGAAGAACTTCACACTCTCATCAGGGTTCTGTAGAACCACAGGAACACCTTTTTAAAGGTTCTGATTCCCTGAGCTCATAGAACCACGACAACAACAACCCGTACCTCACCTCTGTGACCTTCTCTCTACACTTCATTAACACAAACGGTCAAAACCTCCAGTGTAAGAAAGGACCCTTCACTAACAGTAATTAACCCATCACTCAGTGATGATGAACATCCCGTCACAGACGGAGACGCCTGAAGGCATCACACTAACAGCTCCTCTACACTGGGAATAAACCAGACACCAGCAGCAGGAGGAAGCTGCTGACTGGAGCTGAAACCATCACGATTGGCTGAAAGAAAATGAATCAATAAAAATGTGGATATTAAATCACTAAACTATCAAAACACATGGAACCTGCACTGTAAACTGAATATTTGACATTTTCTGATGTGAGTGTTTGCCTCTGGAGTTCAGGATGTTGTGATGATGATGATGATGAAGAATCTGTTGTTTTTATATTCTATGGGCTGATCAATAACTATGGAACGGCCTCAGAGCAGGTGAGCGGTCTGTGGGGACTGTGACACGTCAGAGTGGACGTGAGGTTCTGATCCAGACCTGTTGTGGTCTGGTCCCACTTGGCTGTATTTATACTCAGCGCTGGTTTTCTCCTTCTGGAAGAACTGGTTCAGACGGGCCTTGGCGTTCTCCAGGGTCCAGTTACCATGGAGACTGGCGTTCAGGTCGACCTCCTCCGACTCCAGAGTCTACGAAAAACATCAGGACAAAGAGAAGGAGGCGGTTTGATCAGGTTCTACTCAGACTGACTCAGAGTCAGCCGAGAGGAGAGGACGTACCGCCTGCGCCTCCTGCTCGTCTCTCTTGGCGTAGTACTCCTTCAGGTTGGCTCCTCGGTCCCACTGAGCTCCTCCCCCTGCTCCTCCTCTTCCTCCTCCTCCCCACCCAGAGCTTCCTGCTCCTGAGTAACCCAGTCCAGTCACTCCAGGAACCGGCCCGCTGACACCGTCCTCGTCTGACACCAACGAAGAAGAAGAGTCAGCGTTTATCATGACTGAACTCTGAACTTAGAGAAATGATCGCAGCGTTACCTTTCTCAGCCTTCACCACAAGGTGAGGAGGCAGAGGGCCGCTGGGGGGGAGGTTTCCGAAGCCACCGTCTCCTCCTCCTCCTCCTCCTCCTCCGTCAGGCTGATCAGCGTCTGGAGCGCTCACCTGGTGACACAAGACTCTGAGTAAGTTACTGTGGCATTCACCGACAGAGCTCTTCAACCTGACGTCAGGACTGACGCCCTGGGAGACTCTATCAATCACATATATCATTACAGACATCAATATAAATCAATATATCAAACATATTACTGTCATTTTTACAGCAACAATTCATTTCTCTTCTTACTCACTTGGATCACTGCCCAGTGGTGTGTTCACATGCATCAAATCAAAGCCAAAGGAAGTGGACTAACCTAATTATTATTGTTCATTTATTATGAACTGTTTTTATCATTATTATTATTATTATTATTACCAATGAGTTACTGGACACATTCATTTCCCCCAGGAGATCAATAATAAAGTATCTATCCATCCATCCATCCATCTAACGATCTATCTTTGATGTTAATTGACATTCTTCTGCATTATGAAGTCGTGTTTACTGGAGTGGAGCCCAGGGAGAGTAGCTGCACCTTGGTAGTGACTGATGGATCCAAATAAATAAATCAATAAATCCCTTCCCTGTAAGCTGTGTCCTGTCGGAGCTTCATATTTCCCTGTTCCTGGATCTTCATCAGATCTCATATTAAGACCAGCCAGTCAGTTTTCATTAAAAGCAGCTGTGTGGCACTGACCCCCAGAGCTGGGACCTCTGCTGCGCTCATCTCTCCGACTCGGACCAGGTAGTTGACAAAGTCCCGGGCGGCGTTGGTCTGAGCGTCCTTCTTGTTGGTGGAGTTCCCCATCCCCATGTAGTTGTAGCCGTCCACTCGGACCTGGACGGAGGAGAGTTGAGGGTGAGACAGAGCAAACGGGTGTTTGACAGAACGTGACGGAGAACACTCACCTCACACAGGAACTTCTGCCTGTTTTTGTTCCCCGCAGCTCGGATGTCGTAGTTGGGGGTCAGCTTCTTTTTCCCACACCAGGCGTACAAGAAGTTCTTGATGTCCGCCATGACGGGCTGACGGGCGGGGGAGTTTCCTCCTCTGTAGACCCCTGAAGAAACCAAGAGCAACCCCGGTCAGTCAGCAGCGAGCCCACACCAGCACTCACTTCATTATGTGACTTATGATTGGTTCAGAGTTCATCAAGAGGAATGGGAAAGTCAGATTAAAATGTGACTGATGACAGCAGCTTATTTAATAGACACTACAACTACAAATTACTGTAAATATTATTTGGTTTGTATTTCACTAAGAAATTGTTGTTTACCCTCAGAATGAAACCACAACCAAAGTCTACACAGAGAATAACACTTCTTCTTCTTCTCCCGCCCGGGAACATTATAAACTTTATTCATGACATCATGAAAGATTTTAAGAATAATTACAATCTTCATTAGTGGATTCGGGATAGAAACAAGAAGCGAAAGATCATGAGACACGAGGTTAATTCAGCTGTAAATCAAAGTGATGTGAAGAGTCGGTTATTCAGAGAAGGACTCTCCCGTTACTAACCGAGTCTGGTTTGTAGTTACAGACGAATCAAATATTATTAAAAAGCTCAAAGGGAATTTAAATATAAGAAGTATACGGAGCTGATATAAGTTAACATTAGCAGAATCAATGAGTGAACCTCCCTCTGTAGTTAGCTCACTGAGCTAACGTTAGCTTCCTGCTAACTAGCGTTGAATTTCTGTCTCTGCCGCCGACTCGGCGCTTCGTCACTGCCGCCAATAACCAGTAACACGACCTGACTAACCAACACAGCGGCGGACAGGTGGGTAGTTACTCACAGTCAGACAGGTGGGTAGTTACTCACAGTCAGTGTCGGTGACGGTTTAAAGTGCTTTAGACTTCACGCTCCGCTGGTTTGTTATCGTCCTGTTACTGTTTACTTCCGGTTAGAAAACCGCTTCACTGCTGCTACAGCGCCACCGGCTGGACTGGAGACATACTACTACTGTTGTTGTTGTTGTTGTAGTTACATTATATTATCTATTAAACAAAGACTAAAAACTGAGCTGCTCCAGTAAAGTATCTGTAAACTGTAAATGTAATATATGTACATAGATTGAATTTCCATATATGACATATAAGCACATATAAAATAAAAGCTCATATGTAAAACATTATATGAGAAATTGTAAAAATTTCATACAATGACATGATCTAGCCTATAAAAGTATATAAATGTATGTATGTGTGCTTTTATTGTAGACATATGTTACATTACAGCCTGTCAGTATATGTTGATATTATATAAAAGACTGAGACTTTCCCAGAATGGGAAGTTAAACATGTTTAAAATTAATGAGAAATTAATAAGAAAAACATTTAAACACATAGATTTTTTTTAACATTTATGTTCTTTTAATAAACTTGCATAAATAAATTAAATATTTAATGTTAACACATAAAAATTAGCATGTGTGTTCTATGTAATAATATATGTCAAAATTAGCATTTATGTGTATTGTTTCAGTTAACTTGCATGTATAAATTAAATATACATCACTAACATATATGCTTGCAACATGTTACACCATGTAAAAATATACACATTTCACTATGTGCTGTAAAAAAAAAATGGTAAAAAAAACAGTCAAATGACTGGCAGCAGTGGCTGCCGAACAAAAAAAAGTAAAATATCCTAATTCAAATGAAGTGTTAAAACAATAAATTTACAGAAAGTTTCATTAATATTTCTACAGAGAAAAACTTTACAGATTTTAACTGCATTATTATGATCAAACACCTTCAATAAAGTGAATCCATTCACGTTTCTACAGAGAAAAACTGTTATTTTATTGTCAGTCAGTCAGTCAGTCAGTCAGTCAGTCAGTCAGTCAGAAAGTCAGTCAGTCAGTCAGTCAGTCAGTCAGTCAGTCAGTCAGTCAGTCAGTCAGAAAGTCAGTCAGTCAGTCAGTCAGTCAGTCAGTGTCAGTGCTGCTGTGGTCCAGCCATGAATCTGACCACATAACTCTCTCCTCTGAAACTTTCCCTGGCTGCTTGTTGTTTTCAGAATACAGTTTAAACAATCCTCCTCTTGGTCACAAAGCACCTGCTGGTCTGGCTTCACAGAACATCTCAGACATGCTGTTAGTTTACAATCCCAGCAGATCACATGGTGGAAATCTCCATGTACATATAAGATGTTTTACCCTCCTCTTCCCCTTTTAAAAATGAAGCAGAGTAACAGTTTACTCAGAGTACATCACCTTTCATTACCAGCAGTGAGTGACCGTTTACGTGCTGACGTCACTGTAGCGTCTCATCGCCAGTCTCTGGAGTTTCTGTTACCGGTAGAGTTATCTATATATCCAGAGGATGTATACATGTGATAATAATAAAGGGACATATATGTGGTATATTACATGTGTGTTTGGGTGTACTGGAGTTCACTGCAGTGAGCTGAGACATGCAGCTCTGAGGTCCAGGCAGGTGTTGATAACGTGTGTGTTCAGGGTGTGGTGTCGGCCAGGTAACAGGAACAGACCGGGCGTGTGTGTGTGTGTGTGTGTGTGTGTGTGTGTGTGTGTGTGTGTGCGCCTGCGGCAGTGTATTTGTGCAGATCAGAGGTGGGGAAAGTGTATGACTGTGTATCCAGGTAGTGGCAGGGTGTGTTTGATGGATCATAATGTGTGTGTGTGAGTAAGTGTGTGTCTGAGGTTCAGGGTGTGTCACAGCCTCAGGATACAGTTTACAAATGGAGACAATACACACACACACACACACACACACACACACACACACACAGACTAACATTAGAGTAAACTTTAGCAGGAGTCTGTTTGTCCTTTAATAAAGAAACAAACACAACAACATGGAAATAAACAAACACTTTTTATAAGATCAAATCTGCTTCAGTAAAAGATAAAAACATCTGATCATCTGAGAAATGACAGTGTTGATGCTTTTAACCTTTTTACTTTGGCTTTCAACTGAATTTTATTCATTTGTCTTTCTATTTATTTATATATTCTAATATGTTTTCTATTCTGTGATTCTTTTCCAGATTGTTTTCTCTTTAATATCCTACTTTTATTTCAGGTTATTTATTTTATTTCTACTCTTATTTCTGCTTTCACTCTTTAATACGTCTCCTCTCTTTTATTATTCTATCTTTGTTTTCCAGTCTTCAGTGTTTCCTCACTTCCTGTTATTATCTGTTTGTTTATCTTTATTGCTTTTATTCTGTAAAACACTTTGTGTGACATTGTTTGTATGAAAAGTCTGATTGATTGATCGATGTGAGAGATGTATTGATCATTATTAATGTATTAATGTGTGTACTGGTGGTGTTGGGGCTGCTAACACTTCATTAGCTTTCAGAATCAATAAACTTTATTGATCCCCAGGAGGTAAATCAGGTCAACAGTTGCTCCCTCAGTGAAGAAAAGAGAACAGGAAGTAGATTATAAAGATAAAATATAAACATTCAATACAAAGTCCTATAACATGATTTATAAATAAAGTAGAACACCGTGAAGACGTGGAAGGATGTGAGTTTAAACTGTCTGTCACTGACTTCACACAGCAGGTGTAACTCTGGTGTTTTACTGCTGATCATGGTCGTATACTCATGATGCTTTATTGTCTCCGTTCAGTCTGAACTTCTCTCCAGACGAGTTTCAATCTGAAGATATTTTCCATGTGAGGAACAGAGAGTGTTTTCACCTCGCGGCCACAGACAGACGCTTTTAATTCAAGTCTGTGAAACGTCTCTGTGTCAGAAATATGTAAATGTGATGGAAGAGTCCCAGTAAACGTCCAGAACAACGCCCCGCACTGTCCCACACACACACACACACACACACACACACACACACACACACTGCAGCCGTCATATCCTCTGACTGAGTGTGTGTGTGTGTGTGAATCACATGTGAGTAAGTGAGTATGTGCGGCGTGCTGAGACCTGCAGCAGGAGAGGAGTTAAAAGGCGACGCTGTGAGGAGCTGCAGGAGTTTTATCTGCTGCTTCTGAGGATTTGACACTGATCTGGTTTTAAAGATTCACACGACATGAGGAGCAGCAGCTGGATTTCACTGTGTGGACTTCTGTCTGCCATCTGCGCCGTCCAGGCCTCATACACCCCCTACCGTAAGTGTTTGTTCTTCTTACTTGATCTGAGAGCTGCAGGAGCTCAGCATCTTTAAACTCTGGTTCATCTGCTGGCATCTGTTCACCTGAGCTCGGCCCGAGAGGAAACACTCACCTGAGCTCTGTAACAAACAGCAGAACCAGAGAAAGAAATTCACTAATTACAGAGAAACAATTCTTAAAATTGTCAAGATCTCTTCCAAAAACGAGAAGCACATGTGGCTCATTAAAGAGAGATTTAATTTATAATAAACTAAAATCAACCTTGGTTTACTTCAATAGTCTAATTTAGAGATTTTATTTTACAAAATAATGTTTAATGAAGAGAAATAATTGTGTTCATTTCCATCTAATAGTTTCTGTTGTTAATTGCCTTTGTTTGACTGTTTGTTGTTGCTGTAGTTATTGTCTCTGATCTGTATATTTTTAACTGACTGTAGGAAATGATCAGCTGCGTTGTTTCAGCTGGTTCAACTAGAGACAGGAGAGAATCAGCAGCAGATAGAAACTCTAAACTAACAAGGTTTCACTTTAATGAGAATATACCACTAATTAAATTATGTTACATATGATATTTATATTTTAATGAGACGTCACGGCAGCTCAATGTAAGAGACACAGAGAGAAGGGAGGCACCCATGGGTGAGGCCCCTGCAGCCCCTCCCTCACCTGTGGGTGAGGCTTCAGCAGCCAGGTTAGTCTGATGAGTCCATCACAGACCAGAACACACCTGATGTGTTTCCAGATGTGGGCAGGTTCTGCTGCGTGAGGCTATGATGTCACAGGAAGCGTCTGTGGGCGGGGCTCTGGTATTTTTTGTTCCTTCTGGGTTCAAAGTTTCCATCTGTGTGTTCAGGGAGGAGTCATGTCAGGATGTTCTACATGTTGGAAACTGTCCTGTCAAGGCAATAATACCTGAGCTCACAGTCGCCGGCGGCAACGCTCAGGTGAACATTACCTCCCGTCACAGTGAGTCACAGTGTATCCACCATGACTGAACTGCTACAGTCTGCACCGACCTCTGAATCAGTCGACCTCGTCCAGACACTTAGACAAACAAATGCACCTTAAACACCCTCCTCCCCCCTCCCCCCTCTGAACACCTGTGGATAAGTAAATTACTCAGTGTTCAAAGGCTGGTTACACAAAAGTCTGAGTTAAGTGTTCCTTAAAACTTAATAAAAAGAGTTGCTCAAAACACCTTAAGTCTTCTCCTCAAGGTTTCCTTAAAACGTTAACTTACGTATTGAAGGTTTTCTCTTGATCTTAGTTTTAAACTTAAGGAATCACTTAAAGTCAGTTAAACCGTAAAGTTGACTGAGGTGAGGTTCCATCAGGAGACAGCAGCTTCTTCAATGTGATCACAGGTGTCACAAGCTAATATAAACAAACGGTCTCCATGGAAACAGCAGAATTGTACCGCTGTAAAATCTCTTAACTTTTTTCCTTAACTAACTTTTAAGACATTCTGTGCAACACCCTGAAGTAACTCCCTCAGCTAAGGAGAAATTAAACCTTAAGTGTCAGATTTAAGTAGAAAACTGAAGGTGGATAAAAACTTCAGCTTTTATAAACCAACATCTTTGGACCAAAGACGTTTCATGTTCAGAAGATTCACCTGTGACTCCACGACATTTAACGAGTTACTTCACTGATTCAGGTTAATGATCAAAAATAAAAATGTATGATTATAGATTAAGATGAGAATTCACAAATGAAGTTAATAATGAAAAGACATGAATCAATATTTAATCCAATAACACATGATTCTGCGTCTTGTTACCTGGAGTTTGATTTGTTAGATGTTGAATTTAAATGTCTGAGATTCTTCCTCCATAAACGAGGAAATTAATTTCATTTGAAAACAGGCTGATGTGGCTGAGCTGTGATTACATGACTTCACCACTAAGTGCTGTTTATGTTCCTGTCTCAGCTGACGATGGAGTTCCCGCTCTTTGTTAACAGCAGGAACAAGCAGCAGCCTGTTGAAACCATCAGTTTATAACAAGGCGTTAATTCCCTGGTGGAGTCGGTCAGTGATGATCCCGGCTCAGTGGCGTCTCCTCACGCGGGGGGCGTCGGCTGATTTGGACTCTGATGTCTGCAGGGCTTCAGGGTGGGAGGGGCTGCGCTCTCTTGGATTTGTGAACAAACCACAGAACAAACGAGGCGCCTCAACCTCTGTAAACATCTGTAACACTCTGTTTGGTCATGTTACAGCTCAGTGGAAAAGAGACTGTGATTCTGAGTCAGATTTCTATTATGTTTTAATGTATAACACGATATAAATCATATTCAAATCTACTGAGGATATTCATGTTCAACAAAGGACAATAACCTTTCCTCTCCCTCCGTTGTCAGTTGTCACTGTAGCTGTAATGCAGACTGCCGCCCCTGGGGGGCGCTAGCAGGGATTTTGACATGTGGTCAGACTGACCAGGTTCTAGACTCACTAATGTCACAATAACAGCTGATTTCTTTTGGATTATGTGTTGTATTGTAAATGTATTTACGCACCAAAGAATCAACAACCAGAGGAGCGAGAAGAAATGTCCAATAAATGATTTAAATTCAATTCAAAATAAACAGAATGATTTTGACTCCCGTCTCCTCCTCAGTTGCCACGCGCTGTAACTGCAATGGGAGAGCTCAACACTGCGTTTGGGACGCCTTTGGGATTCGCTGCCTCGACTGTGACGGAAACACAGAGGGCCGCTTCTGCGACCGCTGCAAGGTCGGCTTTTACCGGGAGGGGGAGGGACTGGGATGCACGCCCTGTAACTGCAACTCCATAGGTGAGAAACTACAACATACCTGTCCCCGATGCTGGGGGAAAGAGAAACTGCTGCTGAGTGTCTAAACCTGTGTCCTCTCCCTCAGGGTCTGTCAGAGCTAGATGTGACAGCAGCGGGGCCTGCAGGTGCAAAGAAGGAGTCACAGGAACGAAATGTGACCTCTGCCCTGATGGACCGATCGGACCGGACGGCTGCGCGCAAAGGTGAGAGCGCGTCACATCCACAGATTCTTTACAATAATCTACTCTCAGTTAATGCACTTCAACTGACACTTCGACTCCTTTCAGTATTAAAACTGACGCTTCAACTCCTTTCAGAACTTTAACTTCAACTGACACTAACTGTTGTGTTTTTCAGAAATCAGACCAGAGAGGATTCTGGGAGTCAGACTCTGCCATGTTTCTGTTACGGCCACAGCAGCCAGTGTTCTGCACAATCCGGTTACTCCATCCACAACATCGCCTCCACCTTCACCGATGGTAACCGTTTACCTCTTCACAATAAAAGACCAGAGACAGCTTAAGTAGTTAACAGGGGAGTCGGGGAGTAATTTCAAAATAAAAGTGGTTGGTATGTGAAGTGCGTTGTGTTTTCAGGTCCTGGCGGTTGGACGGTGGCGACGGCTCAGGGCGTCACCCCCAGTGACGTTCATTTCAGATGGTCACCAATACACCGGGACCTGGAGGTGATCTCCAAGAACAGCCTGCCGGTTTACCTGTACGCCCCAGGTGAGAATAAACCCCGCCTCCTTTATCTTCCTTTTATCACCTGCTCTTCCTTTTCTCTTTCTCATTTCGTTCATAATTGCTGCTGTCACCCAGTTCTCTCTTTCCTTTCCTTCTTTCCTTTCCTTTCCTTTCCTCTCATTTCCTTTCCTTTCCTTTCCTTCCTTTCCTTTCCTTTCCTTTCCTCTCATTTCCTTTCCTTTCCTTTCCTTTCCTTTCCTTTCCTTTCCTTTCCTTGTTTCCTCTTCTCCTCCTCCTGACCAGGTGTCTCCTCTCCTACAGGTCCTTACCTGGGGAACCAGTTGCTCAGTTATGGTCAGAACTTCTCCTTCTCCTTACGTCTGGACCGGGGCGTCCGACACCCGTCCACCAATGACGTGATCCTGGAGGGCGCCGGTCTCAGAGTCTCCGCCTCCCTGGGCGACCTTCGGTCCATCGTCCCCTGTGGACAGAAACTCAAGTACAGCTTCAGGTGAGAGAGACGATCCATCGTCAACACACATTTTTATTCTCACTTACCACTCCTGACGTGATGAGCTCCACCCGCCTGGTGCTTCACAGAGCTTAAATTAAACGCCACAGGTTGATCTCAGCCTCGCTGCTACTTCAAGACTTTTTTCTCTGGACTGGAACATTCCTGTCAGAGCGGAGGAATCCTGCTGCTGGAATCAGAGCAAGTAGAAACACATCTGCAGCTGCTGAGGCTCATGGGATTGACTTCAGAAGTGATGCTGCAGGAACACAACGTCTGCACCATAAAACACAAAATCTTTTAACGGATAATTACACCTGTACACAGGTAGACCGGGTCCAGTCACCTGACTCTACTCAGAGCTGAAGCTGCATCGATCCATGGCTGCAGGAGAGTTTAGTTTAACTCACCTGTCTGTGGTTTTGGTTTTAGCTCAAATCTCAAAGTATTTGTATCAAACCAGCAGATACATGAAAAGGTTAAAACAGACTCCATAAAACAAGAATAAAACATGTTCAGAAAACAGGTGTCGACATTAAAACGTCTAAGCTTGCGGTAGAAGTACAGACGCTGACAGGCCTTTCCACAAACGGCAGCGGTGTTTGAGTCAAAAGTTAGTTAGTTGTCAGTTGTTGTCCCAAGATACTTTCACTGTTGGATGACGTCCACCGCCTGGCCGTGAGTAAAAACGTGTGAAACTCTGTCTTCTGTCTCACGAACAGACTGGACGAGCAGCCCGGCAGCAGGTGGAGGCCTCAGCTCTCCTCCCTCCAGTTCCAGAAGCTCCTGCAGAACCTCACCGCCATCAAGATCCGGGCGACCTTCGGCGAGAACGGTGAGTTTCTCCTCTGTACTGTATGTTTCCATAGTTACGTGGATGACACAGATCTGTACATCTCTGCTGAATAATGCTGCAGCTATGAGCTCCATTCTGTCTTCTAGCAATAAATAAATGGATGAGCAAAAACCTCTTAAAGTTAAATGAGGACAAAGCTGAAATCCTCCTTGTCGGCCCCAAAACAAGAAGAGAAATACTGTTCAATAACCTGGGGAAACTCCCTGGATTAAATCTGAGGTTACAAAACATCATGTTTCCACTTTAGAAACAGTTGAAGTTCCAACATTTATAAACCAACAAGATGCTGAAGGATTGATTCATGCCTTCATCACTGCAATGACTTCAGCTCATTCACTCACATTTCATATCTGATGTTTGTGATCCTGGTGTTTAGTGGTCAGTAGTAGATGAACTGTGTTGAACTGTGTCTTCTCAGGACGTGGTTACCTTGACAACGTGCAGCTGGTGTCGGCACAGCGTGGGGACGGCGTCCCGGCCGGCTGGGTTCAGAACTGTAGCTGCCCCGCTGGATACGAGGGCGAGTTCTGCGAACGCTGCTCAGCCGGTTTCAGACGCAGGACCCCCGCAGACGGAGCCTTCAGCCCCTGCGAGCCCTGCAGCTGCAGAGGAGGCAGCTGTGACCCTCAGACCGGAGACTGTTACTCTGCCGACGAGACGCCCAGAGAGCGGCACTGCCCCGAGGGGTTGTACAGAGACCCATGGCAGCCCCAGACCTGCGTGAAGTGCCCCTGTCCGGAGGGAGTGTCCTGCTCACTGGCCGCTGGTTCATTGGAGCCCCGGTGTGACAATTGCCCGACCGGAACCACCGGTACGTTCCAGAACAAACCCAGTTCTGGTTGTAGCAAACGGCTCCTCTTGCTCATTGTGATGTTTTTTTATTTGTGATACATGATGTCATGGTAATCTATACTATACTAACATCCATACTTAAATTAATGGGTGTGTTGGATTTACAGAAGGTGTGTGAATGATCAAGCTCTGACAATTATCAATAGTGTGGGTGGTGCCAAGGTGGTGGGGGCCCCCAGGTCAAATTCTGCCAAGGGCCCCATACAGTCTCGGACCGGCCCTGAACTGCTAAACAAGACAAAAGATGTTTCTGTTAAATATTAACTCAAATATATTTAATTTGCTGTTTGATGCTTTTTGGATCAGAAATGAATTTGATGAGTTGGTGAAATGTTCCAGTCCTGAATGAGCCTCCGTACCAATCTGAGGAAACTCTAATGATTAGCTTTAGGTCTTGGAATGAATTGATTAATCAGTGTAGATGCTAACAAGGCTCTACAATCATCTACTGCTCGTTCACTGATGATATTGTGTCTGCGTCGGCCTTCAGGTCCTCGCTGTGACGCCTGTCAGGAGGGGTTTTATGGAGACCCCGCAGGAGTCGCTGGAATGCGGCGCCCCTGCAGACCCTGCGAGTGTAACGGTCACATGGACGTCAGCGTGGCGGGAAGCTGCGACCGCAGCAGCGGCGAATGTCTGAAGTGCCTGAACAACACGAAGGGCTGGAGCTGTGAGTCCTGTCTGAGAGGCTTCTACCACAGCCGAGCCACCGACGCCTGCAAATGTAAGTGGAAGCTGGTTTGTCAATCTTGAGTGTGTCCATGTGTTTGGAACAAAAACTAAAGGCAGATTTTCCAAGTTCAAAGAAATCCCTCGGGACTTGAAGCAGAAGAGAGTTAGTAGAGCGAGTTTGGTCTGGTCCTGAGGTCCAGTAAATGATTCATCCAGACAAATACATAAATTCATATTTATAGTCTGTGACTCTTTTGAAGTTGTGTCAAATCAACATCTCTTGAACAGCAACACAACACAGAGCAGTGTCATCTGTGTAAAGACGGACATCACAGTCAGTTGGAGAAGAGACAATCTTATGTTATGTTATTGATGTAGATTGTAAAGGAGACTGGGCCTAGAACTGATCCTTGTGGAACACCTTTTGTTACCGGTAAAAAAATCGAATTGGATATTTCCAGATTTGACTCACTGAAATCTTTCATGAAGGTCATTTTGAAACCATCTTCATATGGGAGTTTAACGTGGATAAAAAAGGTTCAGTATCTTTAGATGAAGTTGGTTAAATTTCAACTGGAGAACTTGAAACTTGATAGTTTTAACACAGTAACCTGAGAAACTCGGGCTCCTGGATCTCGTCAGTGTAAAGTCACTAACAGTCGTCTCCTCTCTTGTTTTGTGGACCAGCGTGTGACTGCGACGTCCAGGGCTCTGAGTCCAGACAGTGTGATGACTCTGGTCGCTGTCGATGCAGACCGGGCTTCGAGGGTCTGAGGTGCCAACGATCTAACTGCCCCGCCTGCTTCAGCCCCATCAAGACAAAGGTACAGCTGTGAAAACTTTCTTTAAATGACACTGAGCTTTGATTGGTTCTATTAAACTAACTCCTCCAGTTTTCAGGTGTAGTTTGATTGCTTGGCCACATGGGGGCAGCAGAGCTCCGGGACATGCTGAAAACACAGTATCTAACATTGTCCAAACCTGTTTCCTGTGCGTCAGATGGAGGCGTACGCTGCCAGACTGAAGGATCTGGAGACTAAGTTCTCAGACATGGACGGAGGTTTGAGTCCAGCCAACAGCGCCGAGATGGAGGCTGCTCTGAGAGCTGTTGAGCGGCTGGTGAACAACCTGCAGGACGACACTGAGGAGATTGAAGGTAAGACGACGCTTCGTCACTGATGTCACTTATTGATTCTTTATCAGTTACCTGAGACAGGAAGTATGAGTTTGAGACATCCAGTCCAGCAGCATCTAGTGGATGTTAGAAGAACTGCAGCTGAACACAAACAAAGATAAAAACCTTCACAAAGTTTCAGTCGTACAAATCTGATAAGAGGATGTTGATGATGTCACTTCCCTTGTGTCCAATAGACATGGAGAAGAGCCTGCAGCGTCGCCTGTCGTCCATCAGCAGGAGTCAGCTGGCCGAGGGACAGGACATCCAAAACCTCGCCGACACGGCCGACGACATCAAACACAAACAGAAAACCTACAAGACGGAGGTGAAAACGGTCCAGACTCTGATGGACGAGATGAAACGCAAACTGGAGGAGGCCAAGAGGAACCTCAGATCAGCTGTAAGACATGACACTGACCCTGGATGGCAGGAAGTGTTCCCCATTTTATAAATGACACCATCACTTTTTACAGTAATTACCTATAATGCCAACTAAGAATGACCCTTCAGAATAAAGATCCAGAAACACACTTAGAAAATGATGGTGTTTTCTTGTGGTTAAAACCTGTTTCCTCTCCTCCCGCCTGTCAGGACCTTCCTCTTGGAGATGCTCCTGCACTGGGTCCAAACTTGTTGTCTTCATTGGTGCAGACAGCGACCAGCCTGGCAGATAAGTAAGTCCATTATACTGATCTCATGGTGTCACTGATACATTACAGTAGATGTTTGTGTCTTCACCGCTGTCAGCAGTAATAATTCCTCTTTGTCCGTCTCCAGACATCAGACGAAGGCCACCGCTGTGGAGCAAACCGCCAACATGGCTCTGAGCGACTCTAAGAAGAGTCTGGGTCTGGTCCGGACTCTCATGACCAGAGAGAACAAGGTCAAAGAGCTGATCGGAGATCTGAAGACAATGTGAGTAGCGTCTATTTGAATGATTGTTCAAACACTGTTAGATACAAGACTCTGTCCATGAGAGCGTCTCCCTCGACACGTCGTTGAACTGATGATATCCGTGTGCGTTCAGGTACGACCAGACTTCGGCCAGGGTGAAGGGTATGGAGAACCACGCGATCCGTTTGAGCAGCGACGCCAAGGGTGAGAGCAAAATGGCGGACGACATGTTGAAAAACATCGTCAAGATGGAGCAAAACCTCCCAGCATCCCTGAAGGTAACGGCTGCTGGTAGACGTCGAAATCTGTTCTTTGGTTTCAGAAAGATAATCTTACAGAATAAGTTCATATTTCCTCTGTGTAAGACCATCTGTGTGTTTTCCCATGATGCTCAGGGGGAGATGGACGCCATGGTTTCCAGGTTTGCCGGTATGAAGGGTGTGGCGCACGAGAACATCGCAGGCTTTGAGGCACTGCAGGGCGGCGTGCAGCGAGACATGGCCGCCGCCAGGGACCTGTTGGCCAAGGGCCAAGCCGCCCAGCAGGTACAGACAGAACTCATCCAACACTGGAGAACCTTTCGCATAGAGTTCAACTTTCATAAACACAATCTCTAAATAAATCTGGCCCATACACGGGCCACACACTCGTGTTCCTGTCTGGCCCATATACATCATGATTGTCTGATGCTACTTCCACATCTGGACCAGTTCTGGCACACACACACAAAATCTTCCAGCTGTCAGCAGCAGCCAGAATCAACCCAGATGTGGAGGTGTACGGGCCAGACTCGGACAGAGGACTAAGACATATATTGGGCATATGGAACCATAGGAGAGTTCACTTTTAGCTCCTTACTGCTCTCATTAAGTATAAACAGCAGTTTCAATGAGCTAGTTAGCTTAACTGCTGGCTAGCATGTTAGCAGTTGGCTCACGTGTCTCATGAGAACATGCAGATGCTCTTCAGCTGGAAGAGGCACAATACAAGTAAAAGCATCAAAATGAGACCGAACCCTAAACTGCTGACCCTGAATCAGTATGGTCTCAGTTCTATTGTGTCACATTGATTCACACCTGTCTGTGTCTGCAGGACTTCAACAAGCTGCTGGACAGAGTCAACGTTGCCAAGGCTGACACCGAGGGCGCCCTGCAACTCATCAACAGCAACACCAAGGAGCTGGACGTCGCGTTCAACACCCTGAAAGGTACATGACGCTCTGACAGGCAGATTAAACTTTCTACTTTGTTTATAACTCTGGACTGAACGTGACTCTTCCTCCTCCTCCTCCTCAGGGTTCGACCAGCAGATCGACGGCAGCAGAGCTCTGGCTGACGCCGCCATCAGGCGTCTCCCCGGCATCAACGCCACCATCCAGCAGGCCAGTCGCAGCAACGATCACACGCTCTCCGTCCTGGATGAAGTGTCCACAGATTATACCGGTGCACTGCAAAAAATCAACATGCTGGACGGCCTGGTCAACAGTCTGGAGGTAAAAACCAGCCTTAGAAAACAGTGTGTGTGTTAGCCTAGCTTAGCACAAAGACTGGAAGCAGGGGGAAAGTGTTAGCCTAGAGAAAAGAGAGAGAAACAACAACTCCAGGTCTGTTACTGACATATTCAAATGTTTGTTTTGCTTGTTCCACCTGAGACATGTCAGTCAGTCAGTCAGTCAGTCACCTGCTTAATCAATGATTAATCAATAAACTGATAGGCAACAAACAGAATCTGTGGGTTCTGGACATTCAGTTAGTGTCAGTGAGTTGCATATTCATATGAACTGTTTGACTCTGGTGTGGGACCTGGGCTCTGAGCTGACCGGGTGTCTCTGTTCTCCAGGGAACGATTGGATCGTTGCCGCCTCACACCGGTCTGCTGAACGAAGCCACCACACTGAACAAGGAGGCGAAGGATCTGAGGACGAAGGCGGTCGATGTGGTCGGAGACCTGGAATTTGAGCTGGACGACGCCAGGAGGCTGCAGGACGACGCTCAACAGGTAAAGTGTCCACCCAGAGACGACCCGTCAGGTAAAGACACGCTGTCGGACATAAAGTGAACGGTGTGAATGTTTCCTCTGCAGGCGGCCGTCGGAGCAGCTGCAGCTTTCAACAACGCCAGACAGGCCAGAAACGCCGTGGGACAGACCCTGAGAGACATCAACAACCTGCTGGCCAACATGAGTGAGTACAGGGCTTTACTGTCCTTACGTCTGAGTTAAGGGTTCCTTAAAATAAAAACAGCTGCACAAAACACCTTAAGTTAAGAATTTCCTTGAAGTCTGAGTTAAGGATTTCCATAGAATAAAAACGTTTAAAAATGTTCACTTAAATATTCAAGGTTTTCTCCTTATCTATGTCAGTTAAACCGTTAAAGACCTTAGGTCCCTCTGACTCTGTCTTTACTGGAACACGACTGAGTTTATGGTGATAAATGAAGAACATGAACATGTTCCTACATCAACAGTCTCCATGGAAACAGTAGCATTTCACTGATGTAAAATCTCTTTCACTGCTTCACACCCTTAAGTAACTCCCTCAGCTAAGGAGAAATCAAACCTCAAGTGTCACACTTAAGTAGAAAACTCGAGGTGTTTTGTGCGACCGGCCCTGGACTTTAAACATTATTTCAGGATGTTCAGCTGCAGCAGATGAACTGAACTCCAGTCTTATTGCATCATGTTAAACATACATTTGCTCCCTAATATCATGTTGTCTTCAGAGCGTCATAGCAACAGCGAGAGACAAGCCGTTGTGTTCATGTTAAACTAGAGACTCAGTGATTTCCAAGCCGAAAAGCTAATCGATTAGCTTAGCTAGCCATTTGGCCTCCCTGTGACACTCAGTGCTGATAAAGGCTCAACAATCCCAACTGGCCATGAGATGTAACAAGCCCTCTGATTGGTTGGAGAGCTAACCAGTCATATCAGGTTTTTTCAGGAGTGTCACAGAAAGGCTAATTGGAGAGGCTGAATGACCAAACTAATTGATTAGCTCAAAGGAAAAGCAGCTGGAAAATGGAAATTGAAAAGGGAATCCAGGAATGTGTATCCATTTTTAAAATTCTATTATTTATTGATGAATTAATAAATGTATTTATAAATGGTTGACTTAATGAGTTTTATTCAGTTTTTGTAAATCCATTTTTAAATCTGAAGTATTTATTGATGATTAATCGTTCATGTATAAATTCTTTTTACAATCCCTATTTTTAATGCCTGTTAAATTATGAAATTAAGTAAATGCTTTTCCCTGGTCCTCCATGACTCTTCACCTCCTCCTTCTTCTTCTCCTCCTCCTCAGACCAGCCCGGCACCGTGGACGAGGACCGCCTGAAGCAGCTGGAGGCCTCTCTGGCCCGCGCTCAGACTGACGTGCAGGATCACCTGAGGCCTCGGCTCAGGGACATGGAGCAGCAGGAGACCGCCATGCGTCGCAGGCTGGTCGGCATCAACGGGGACATCGACACCATCCTGGGCGACATCGCTAACCTGGAGGACATCCTGAGATCCATCCCCAGCGGCTGCTACAACAGCCCCCCCATCGAGGAGCCCTGAGTCCAGACCCACAGGAGAAACCTGCCTCACAGTGGCGGCGCAGAAATCATTTGGCTTCAAGAGTTTTTGAGCGACTGTCCTGTTGAACTAATAATAATATTAATGTTGTTGCACAAACCAACCACTGAACCTGTTTATTCTTCAGCCAGCACCACACTGCCCCCTACAGGTCGTCTAGTGCTAATGTCTGTTGTCTGACGTGTGACTGTAAGAGAAGTCTATTTATATGTGTACAGTTTCAGTTTTTATATTTTTCAAAATCCAGTGTTTTTATTTGTCGTTGATGTGTCCAGAATATTTATATGTATCTTTACTCTCTCATATAAAAACTGCTGCACTTTCATTTGCCTCAATGTTCATCACTTTGTTGAATAAGAGCTGAATTTCTCTGTATTTCTATATGAGCACATGTTCAGTTGTATGGAAGCTTAATCCTGCCAAAATTAAAACTTTGAAATAGAATTAAAAATTCTAAGATATTATCTCTGAATTATGTCATAATTTTAACAAAACAAACTGTTTTTAAATTAATAACTTACATATGCTTCATACATATGATGACATTTTTAAATTGATAAATTTCTAGTTTTTACTTGTATATTAAAGTCATTTGAGCATCAATAACATTAGATTAACTTCTCATCCTGATCTGTACACACACACACACACACACACACACACACACACACACACACACACACACACACACACACACACACACACCAAATCATTGTGAACAGATGAGGCGCTGATCTGTACATTTACAGGATGAATAGAAAATGGACAGACGTGTGTGACGATGATCTCCACTGTATATTATATTTATATTTATAATATATCT